GCGAGTGGCTATTATATTAAAATTTGTAGCTACTAGAGACTCTTTTACGAGTTTACAGTATCCTTTCCGTGTGTCAAAGCAAGCGATATAATCCATCGTTCCAGAAGTTACAAATGCTAGAACCTTTTGTTATTGTATATAATGGTGCCGAGAAGATTAAAAAGGTAGAATATTCAGAGATGAAAGGAAATGAGCGCGTGCATTGTTGTAGGAAATTGAATAGAAAGCGGAGTCCTGCCAGAGAATATTAGTCTCTACTATTAAGTTAATGTTAATAGTATTAACTATAGAAAATATAAAATTAGGAAAACTTATTTCTAAAGATCGTGATAGCTGAACGGTATAGAAGGAATACTATTAAAATTATGGTATTAAATTATATGTGAGCAGGACGTTCGAACATTGATCACTTTGTACTGGTCATGTACTCCTTGTGAGCATCGCATTAAGAATGATTCGAGGAGTCGTTTTATATAAAAAAAATCATCTGATTCTATGAAAACAAATTGCGGTTGTACTTTGCAAGAGCACCGATACACTTATAAAAAAATAATACTGTAAAATGGCACAGCTTGTTAAAACGTTGGGTACTTAGGCCATACAGGTCAACAATCGGACGCCAGCGTGTTAAGTCGTGCAGAACTTTTCTCTGTGACTCCTTCTTTTATCTCCTTTTGAAACAGGGCTATAGCCCAATCTAGTTATTATCGTAGAATCATCCTGTATTTACGTGTAATTATGTGACCTACAAAAGTCTTTGAAATGATTATTCAAATAACAATATAACGAAAAAATGATTATACATTCACTGATATGAAATAACTAAAATTTCCGCACAGGTAAACGTATATATTTTAAGACGTATGAATAAAATTTTTATCTATCCTCCTAACTTAGCAAATCGCTCTATATTCGAAATAGGTTTCTCTGATTTCAGTGTTCGTAGGATGGTGTGAAAAATATGAAATCTTTCTAAACATCCACAGTCTACTAATCATATTGATGTTAATGGTGTAATATTTCGTTATTAACGATTTATTTGTTTACTTTTATCAATGTTTACTGGTGTGAAAAATACTACAATATTTTCGTATAAAAATGTAGCAGAAATGACAAGTTTGTTCTACCTCCGTTAAACTACGAAAAAAGTGCTAATAATAATAGGATATAATCACATTGTAGATTTATTCGTATAAGAAGATTTGAAATGATTTCAAAGATACAGTTCTGTTATTCGAGAATTCTAACAGATGTCACAAGATCGATAGAATTTTTTCACGATGTGACCGAGGAGTTTCGGCCAGCGTGCTGCAGGGCGAACGAGCGTAGAATGACTGAACGTCGGAAAAAGGCAAAACTACTTTCGATATGTCGAAATACGGTGCTACTCACGCTCGATTTTCATCCATGTACAGTGTCCGCATACCGCATGCGATTTCGTCGTTTACTGTGACGCACAGACGCCGCACAGTGGTTTAAAATGCAGTTGCAGCCGAGCAAAAATAAAAAAAAATGAACTATCTCTACACATGATTATTTTCTGCCAAAAATAGTCGAATTTATTTGTAACTTACAAATAAATAGTTATATATTTGAATCAAAATCAATAAATGTATGTAATGTATATAGAATAAAAGCAGTGCGAAGCATTAGGAGTACTGTAAAATTTTGTTTTTCTGGTACTTTGATAAATATATTATTAGAATTTAAGCACAACTTTTACTAGTTTTTGCTGGTAATTAAGACAGCGATTGTTTTTCAGAACATACGCAAATTTTAAGAAGTTTTATTTTATGACTGGAGGGACACAGACGATTTGACAGAAGAAAAGAGATTTATTAGCATACATTAAATTTACTAGATACTCCAAGTAACAGCTCATATGAAGTTGATGAATCTGATAGTACTTAGAATGAAGATCATTTTGTGTTGTATATGTTTGTATATATTTGTATATATTTGTGATAATTTTTCTCTTCTACCGAGTATAATATAGACATAATCAGTTAATATTAAGTTTCATCGAGAACCCCTATATTTTTAGTTACACATATGACCATGTAAAAAGATAATCATAAATAAGTCAAAATAACATGAACAATAATAATTAA